ACCGACACCTCCTTTTCATCCAGTCTCTGGACCAAGGTCCCATCCAAATGTTCCTCCTACATCCATCCCTGGGTCGCAAAATGGAGAAATGGTGCCGGGTTCAGCATCTTCATCATCGGCATATAATTCTTCCCTCAACCCCCCATCAAACAGAAGCCATCACCAGGAAGAGATGCATAGAGATGATTCCTCATCTATTGAGTTCGGCTCGGCTGATGATAATGCTTCGAACCTTCACATAGTTGGCCCAGCTTCGACCAAGGATAATCAAGTCCTATCAGACTACCTATCTGCAATACCGGGGGCTACCCGTGGGACACGCATGGTTGTTCCCGTCCCTGCTAGTCGCTCTAGACCGGTGCTTTTCACCAGGGTTCAGAAGCGGCCCTTTGGTGTCCCAGTAAACCGTAGCCCGTCGGCCGAAAAACTGGAGATGATTGAAAAACTCCTAGAGCCATACGCGGGAGATGTAATTGATCTGTAAGCCTGGACGCATGGGAGACCCTCATTCTGTTTTTAATGTTCTGAGCCCTAACAATCAGAACCAGTTATTTTGGAAAGGTGAACATTTGTTTCCCGTTGCTTGACGAGGTCTCATTTCGTCAGCAATGGCTTGAAAACAAGGAGCGTATATCTCCGGCGTTGCTTGCTTGCCTTTATGCGCATACCATGGCCTATTGGCAATATTCCCCAGCCTTGGCCCATCGAAAGTGCCCAGATGTACGTTTCATTTGGAACCTTGCCAACGATGCAGTCTATTCTGAGCTCCATCTTTCTCCTGGAATGTCTATCATCAAGGCCATTGTGCTCAACGTCGGCGGTCTTCCAACCACCTCACTCATCGGGAACGGTGTGCTTTTGGGATCGGCCGTATCAGTAGCATACTCTTTAGGGTTGAATCGGAATCCCATGTCGTGGGAGATAACACACTCAGAGAAGTGTTTGAGGATGAAGATTTGGTGGACTCTACTCATCCATGACAGATGGTTGGTCGCATGCAACAACACCTTCTTACTCGGCGCTGATCGTGTTATAGGACAAGTCTCGCACATGGCACGCCACCCCACATACTCCCAACCCAATACGACGTACCGCTGCCAAGTCTTGAGTATATGGCCGACAACGCAGCAAGCGGAATGCAACACAGGGCCGCCAGTGTGTTCATCGCATTAGCTAGCTTGACCGATGTGCTAGATCAACACCTGCAATATATCTACCAAGTCCGAAAGGACGAGACTGGAAGCACGGTGCAGCTAGAACTTGCCCTTAATAATTGGGTAGAGAGTCTAAGCGGAACAGTTCGGTTGATTATCCTTCGTGGCTCGCACCTAGATATCCCCGGTGCAGCCAACTTACGGTTCAGCTATCTAACGACAAGACTATTGCTCGAGCGCATTGAGCTAGAGGCGGACAAGCAGAGCTTTGATCCCCACGATCAACGACTATCTAATCGCTATATTCAGGCTCGCAGGACTGCTGAGGAGATCCTGATAATGACGCAAGAACTTCAGCAGGAACAGATGGGAGACTTCTGGCTAGCTACCTCGGCGTTTTCGTATCCTGCGACGGTAAATTTCTTGCTTCGATGCGGTTTAGAGACGGAAAGCTCGCCGGTCGAACTGGTGCGAAGCCCTCCATTTAAGATTGCGCAAGACCTGATAGAAACGCTGCGGTCACATCAGGACAGATTCTCGTGGGACCTGGCCAGGGTATGCCTGGCGCAACACGCCGAGATTGTTGACAAGATACTTTCCAGTGTCTCGTCAAGTGAGTCTCAAGGCGGAAACAGTGGCTCCTTCGACCCGCAGGAGTTCGTGTTGCCAGATGCATCCTTCATTGACCAGTTCTTTCCCAGTCTTTGGGACCCGCTGCAGAATGCATGGTGAATGTCAACGTGATCAGGTTTGTGACAAGGTGGTTTGCCCTAAATTAGCCCCCGTGCGAGTTGACGTTTTACTTGTCTTTCCCGCGGTCAACTTTCCCGCGGCGGGAGCTTGTCTATCAGGTACGAACAATCTTTGTTGCGAGTCACGAATTCGGCAATAGCCGGGGCCAGAGATACGAAAACCGGCAGCAAGATGAACTCCGTATAAGAGATGTCCGGAGGCTGGAGAGATTCTTCATTCTTGCTCAGACTTCTTCACTCTCATCATCATCATCTCTCTTCTTGTGCTCTGAGAAATAATAAAGGGGCATCAATTGATTGGTTCGAATCAGTCTTCTAATTTCTTGCATCTTTACTCTATCCTCAGAATGAGTCCCTCGGCCGTGGTCGATGCCTATCCAGAGGCTGTTGACATCCAGGTGAAGAAAGAGATCCATGCCAAAGTTCTCGAAAAGTCACACGAAGACGAACTTCGCGAGAAGAGCAGCAAGTATATCCTTAGCAGTGGCGCAGGTTACTCAAAGGAGATCATCACCGCTGCCGAGGGCATGCACTTCTACACTGCTTCCGGTCACAAGGTACTCGACTGGACCTCAGGCCAGATGTCCTGTCTCCTGGGACATGGCCATCCTGAGATTGTCAGAGTCATCACACAGAATGCAATTCATCTAGACCATCTCTTCTCCGGGATGCTCTCTCCCCCCGTTATCTCCCTTGCAGAGCGCCTGTGCTCCTCCCTCCCCGACGGGCTAGACAAGGCTTTCTTTCTTTCTACTGGAGGTGAAAGCAATGAGGCCGCTATCAAATTGGCCAAATCATACACTGGAAAATTCGAAATTGTCGGTCTTGGCGCCTCATGGCACGGCATGACTGGAGCTGCCCTATCGGCGCAGTACCACTACGGCCGCAAGGGTAACGGCCCAATGATGCCAGGGACACACATGTTGCCCTCGCCCAATGCTTACCGATCCGTCTTCCGCAGGGCCGATGGGTCTTATGACTGGGAGGCTGAGCTGGAGTACGGCTGGAGGATGATTGATATGGCCTCTTGCGGATCCCTAGCCGCGTGTATCGTGGAATGCATACAGAGCTCTGGGGGTATGCATGTTCTGCCTCCTGGCTACCTCAAGGCCCTAAAGAAGCATTGCGAGGCCCGTGGAATGCTCCTCATCGTCGATGAAGCCCAGACTGGCGTCGGCCGCTGTGGTGATTTCATGGCCATCAACCATGAGGGTGTTGTCCCTGACATTCTCACCCTCTCCAAGGCTTTTGGTAACGGCATGCCTCTCAGCGCTGTTGTTACAAGCGAGAAGATTGAGAGCGTTGCTATGGAGAGAGACTTCATGTTTTATACTACCCATCTCAATGATCCTCTCCCGGCTGCGGTGGGCGACAAAGTGCTTGAGATTGTGCTCCGCGATAAGTTGGTCGACAAGGCACGCGAGAACGGCAAGGTCCTGCACGATGGCCTGAACAAGCTCAAGTCCCGATATGGCTGCATTGGTGACGTGCGCGGGAGGGGTCTGCTCGCTGGCGTGGAGATTGTCAGCGACCCTGTGCTCAAGACGCCTGGTCTCGAGCTGGCCAAGAAGATCGGTACCCGCGCCTACGAGTTGGGCATCTGGGCCAATTTGAGTAGCCACCCGAGCTTCGGGGGGGTGTTTAGAATGGCACCACCCATCACGGTGTCGGAGGAGCAGTTGAGAACCGGCCTAGCCATTTTTGAACAGGCACTGGCAGAGACTGAGGGTACTATGCCTCTGTACTAGAGCCATGCGGTTAAAAATCATAGCGAGTTAGTGTTTTTTTGTTTCTTTCCAAATGCTGCTGCAATGCCTGGTTGACTATATTAGAAAAATAGCGATAGACAACCATTAGCTTTTCTTAATAATGCAAAAGTATGAGTATTGTAGAAAGACCCTTGAGAAACATGCGATATGTGAAGTCAGACGAACTGCAGTCGACTAACATCTTGACATCCTAATGGGAAACCTGGCCACGGCGTACATTCAAACCGACCTCCGCCTTTTTCTGACGATTACATAAAAGGACCTGAAGTTAAATTCAGATTGTTTGTGTATCAATAAACGTGCGGTTACATGTTTCCATAACCCAGCATACTGGCACCTCTCGCCAGTGCTAGAGAATCATGTGGCAGGGGATGAGTGCCATGCCTGTAATGGTTTATTGCATTCCACATCAAACCAGGAGGTCATATGATTCCCCATCCGCATCAACAAGTCTCAGGATTCCAAGAACGAAAGTAAATCTATTCAATCTCTACGCAGCCTTTTGGAATTTCCAGTGACGTGGCTGAAATACCTAGTTCAAATACCAAGCGACCTCGCCAGGAGCAGGGCGGTCGTCTAAATTGCTTTGGATCTCTCCCGTTTATATTCCACACGCTTGACTATACCCGAGTCTCCCATTACAACAAATCAAATGAGTCTTCAAAGAATGTTTGCAGAACTAGCAGAAGCCCAAGTCACCTCTGTTGTGTTTGCTTGGGTTGTTCCCCCCTAGAAGGCGTAGATTGTGCACTGCGGGTCCCTGAATTCATGCGAGGAGCACTTGGAATGCTGCAAGACGACGGGTAAATTAGAAAAGCGTTGGCCCAAGACAATGGTTGTTTCCACGCGACTGTCACGAGGCCAGATCCCCTGGCGGGAAAACTATGTTCGTGTACGAGCCAAGTCCGCTGCGACTCGTATGATCCCTGATTACGTAGAAAAATGCACACAGTCCCCAGACGCAGATAAGAATTGGAAAATGATAATAATTGGTATCTTGTACTGATATGTGAAGTAAAATATATACGCTGAAGTAGGTAATCGTAATGAAAAGCAGGTTGCGCCGTGCGTTAGAGATGCTTCCCCACCAACACCAAGTCATTAAACCACGTGAAACCAAAGACGTCCCAAGAATACGCCGCCGCCTATGCTGTAACGACGCTCAAACAATGAAAGAAGGAAAAGAAAAAACAAATGGAAACGCCACCGACCAGCAGCTTGAAGGACCGAAAGCTGAAAACGCCCGCCATGAGATGATGAAACAGATAATGCTTTCAAACGCCCATTTTTAATGCTTGTTGCTCGATAGTTGCGTGAGACGCGTCATGACTGCAGCATCTTTCTGTGATATTGTGCTGCCAGTTCGGCTTGGTAGAGGTTGGGCTGTTTGTGGGCCAGACGCTTCCAGATGCTTTGGATGGCCACGCCGAGGACCATGAGGACCTCGAGGCCGAGGATGCCGACCCAGACGGCATTGAGGATCTCGTCCTCGTTGCTAAAGTCGAAGTCGAACTTGGTGTTTTGCAGCTTCATGTTCCCGATCATGGTGGAAGAAGCGGAAGAGGGGTTGGTTGGTGTAAGTGGAGTGAGTTCTGTGGTTGCGAATTGAGAGACTATCGATTGGCCGATGTTATTAGCGACTGAAGGCTTGTAGACCCATTAAGAGGAGAGTGGGCAGGTGGGTATTTCACACAACGTGAGAGGGCATCAAATAGTGCGAAGGGAAGGAATTAAATCAAGACGAGTAAATTTCACGAAGGCTATGTGATGTGCACGGGTCAAGCACAAAGACTCAGGAGATTTTTTGTCCACGTACATTTGTGTCTCGCAATTCAACCGTCGCCGGCACGGGGAATGATAGTGGGCTTTCAACGGTGCAAGCCCTGGCCCCGGGATTGGATGGATACGAGGAGATTGGATGTGATGAGGTAGGTGGCAAAAACGAGCAAGGGTCAGGTGCGAAATATCAATAAACTTGTTTTTCAAAAGAGCATATCCAAGACAAAAAGGGCGACTAATATGAATGAATAGAAGAAGAGGAGGCAAGGGAGGAGCGAATGGCTGGAGGGAGAGGGTGTAATTAAGCGAGTGGGAGACAATCGGCAGACGCAGATGGATGGGGTTGGCGCCGGAGAGGGGACAAGGGGGTCGCCCTAATGATCAGCAAGGGTGTAGCGATGGTTTTTTTCCTGCAGCCTTCGCGTGACAGATTGACGCCTTGGTATGGATGTGCGTGGGTGGTGATCGATGCAGAGTGCCAGCAAGAACGAGACGGTGAGGGCACGACTCCAGAGCCACAGCATAGACGATGGGAAAACGGTCAAGGGAGGAGACCAGGTGATTGGACGCAACGGGGGAGCCTTGCCAGGCTGAGGAGCTCTAGCTCGCGGCGCTTCTGTGTAAGTGGATGGAGACAGGCAGGATAATGCACAGCGCTGCCGGGGGGGGCTGGAAGCGGTGACGAAAGAAATCTCCTTGGTGGAAAGAGCGAAATTGTTGGGGAAGCAGTGAGCGATGGGAAGGGAAGGCCTTTATTCTTCCAGGGTGCCATCACCAGACGACCGATAGTCCCTCCATCCTGGCAGGAAGAGGACACTTCTTCGGATCTTTGGCAGCGACTGCCTTTTGAACACGGCGACGATGAAATAGCCGCAGCGGGCTTACCCCATTCCTGGCTATCTATAGTGACCTTCCCGGATCGATAATGGTTTGGGGAAGCACTCTGAAGGTCACACTACCTCGCATGGCACTCGCAGCGAGCGGGAACGGAGTCCTGTGGCCGCCAGACCCTGCTTGGCTCTGCCCGTGCAGACGGACGGGCAGGGATTGTGCATTGCCTAAGATCCCTCTGTGCCAGATGCACCAACTGCGGAAGCACGAGCTTACTGGGGATGGATTCTCACACATGGACCAGGGCGTAAGAGTAAGAAGACTCTTACTCTCTCAGCCTGTCATCCTCGCTGCCATGCACGGACTCGAAATGCGGGATGGGAGAAGACCCGGCGCTATTTTTACAAAATTCGATTCTATCATCCTAGGATCAACCTCTCTAAAGTGGGACTCTCTCAATCAGTTCGTCAACGAAATTGCTTGGGTCTCGTGGCATGAATGGATATTCCCCGAAATTACCCAGTTGTTATTATCCCTTATATCGCATAGTCATATCACTCCCGGCAGTTGAGCATCGCTTACATATCTCCCCTGGCAAATGATCTGGACTTTCTCACCCAAGCATCAGGGGAAACCGGCAAGGTATTGCATGAAACTCGATCGGCTCTCATTGACACACTCCAGTCTCACATACCCTAGGGCCTAGGTAGGATCAAGCAAAGACATTGTGGGCTGTTCTAATAACCCAAATAGCCTGAAAAGAGTCATCTTGAAACGGAAACTAAACACAAAACTCGCTCTCGACGCCATAGTGCATAACCATGCCGGGATACCACAGCATTATTCTTGGCCACATGAGGCACAAGTGAAGAAGAAACAGAACATTCGCCTGACCTCTTCTCCGAGAGGGGGCTAAGGTGCTAACTCATAACCAAGATTTAGAAAAAGCGCCGTAGGAGGTAGGACAACGTCCCTCTCCTTTTCTACGGAAGACCTGAACTCGCCGCGCTCTCTCCTACCTTGACCTCCTCTTCGGGAACTCCTACTGCGTCACTAGCAACGCTGTGACTTGTCAAACCTCGACCACGCTCGGTGCGGGATGACGAACTCTCTCTGGGCGCTGCCACACTTGTGCCTGTGCTTGGAACCACGTTCATACTGGCGGTTGTGCTAAAGCTCTCCCTCCGAGCAGGACCTGTCTCACCAGCTTTGCCCTCCTGGACTTGTTTCTCAAGCTCCCTGATGCGCTTCTTCAGTACCTCATTCTCTCGCTTTGCTGCTTCAAGCTCGCCCTTGAAATGCTGGGTTTCTTCGTAACGTAGGGTTGCAGGCATCATCCCCGGGCTAAGTTGTTCGGACACGTGATGGTTCGATCCCTGTGCCGTCATTGGAATGGAGGTTGGAGGTGGGATCCGCTGCTGGTGAAAATACTGTGAAGGATCCAGGCCGGCCGATGGGATAGGGGAACCGTTGTTCTGGCTTCTTCGTGACGCAGTGCTATTTTGTCGGGAGATGGACAAGGGCCTCGTAGGCATCGCCGCCTGGGTTCGAGCATCGTACGATGAGGATAACGGATTTTGCGACGTAGACGATGACGTGCGCCGGTGCCTCCCAGCGGTTGGGATGGCGAATCCGCCGCCGGAACGGTAGGAGGCGTCGGTGATCACGTCCTGGTTTGACTGTGTTGCAGATGTTGAAGACGCGTTTGAGACAACCGATGCATTGTGTGCGGCTCGCAGCAGCGACAGCTCACGTGTGAGACGGTTTACCTAACATGATGACGTGAGTTGCATGTCAATACCACAGAAAGGGACGATGAAACATACCACTGCCTCCTGCTCCTTCTCTAGCTGCATATGTAGCTCTGAAGCCGTCAGAGGTCGAGGATGCCTCAGAGGACCGGGCCCTGACACAATTTCAGCATCCAGTTGGGGTGGGTTTAGCGGTAGAGGTGGTGACGACTGTGAAGCATGAATGTGAGAGGACGAGGGTGACGCAGAGGGGTTGACGGCGCTCTGGTTCGATGGTAAGATATTCAGGGAGGATTCCAGGGCGTCTGATGCTTGAAGCTGAGATGCACGGCGCGAGCGATTTTGTAGACTGGCTGATGCCGGGATTGAATTGATGTCGGGCATCTTGACGTCGTTATAGAAAGTCGATGTTTGGAATGGGTTGTAAGCAACAGAGCTCCCAAAGCAGCCTTGGATGTTGTTATCTGTAGGTGGGTGGGAACCGTAAGAGCAGGCAGCAGGGGTGATAAGTGAAGCTGGCAATCAATATCTATCCCTCTGTCTCGGAGGTCTAAATTCAATGCACAGGCTCTTTAGGTCCTCAGACGTGTCTCAAGCATAGACCATTCAGTAGAAAGGGAGTTGCTCTGTTCATATGGAAAGGTGGCAGCAGATGTCCATCACTCCATGGTCCATCATGGTCGGATGCGGACGCGAACATTTATCAGGCGCGGGGTTCGCGTTGATCCTCATCTCTAGCAGGGCACTACTCGGCGGGTACGTACTAAGACAGCGCGCCCTGTGCTGGCACCATCCAGGCCACCGGGCGCTAGTGCCTGACCCCTGGTAGCGCAGCCCTTCTGCCAGCTCGGGCTGCCACTCTGGCAGTGTCCATCTCATGCCGGCCGTCATTGCATGACAACAACACGCCTCACGGCGACGAATCAGCATTGCATTGTGATGAAAGGGGCTGCCCAACTCAAATTCCTCACTATCGTTGCTTTTCGAGGCGAAATTCCATTATGCAGATCCCTACAAGGAACTTAACAGTCTCCCATATTCCTCTCTCGCTACCAATCGCAAATATGCTCCTCTCCACCGGCCTCCCCACAAGGTATCACCGCTTTGACTTTGACGACGCAGGTGCCCAGCACGCCTCCTGCTTCTAGAACAATCTTCCAATTCCGCCTCTCCCTCTCTCCCCTATCTACACGAGATGGCTCCGGACCTGCTTGTCCGCCGGCCTCGCCCAGTGCGTCTTGACCCCTCCCCAGCTCTCCTCGCTGTAGCCCTCCTGCACCTTCTTGCAGGTGCTCAGCCCCCACTCCGTCACGCCCATCATCAGGCAGCTCTCGAACATGAAGGCGCAGCTGCCCGCGCCGACCTTGGCCGGCGGCAGCTGGGCCTCGCGCGCGCCCTCGTTGCTCTCCGCGTCCGGCCCGTGCCCGCTCATGACGTTGTGCAGGCTCGCCCCGCCGGGCACGAAGCCGCCCGAGCCGCCGCGCTTGGCGTCGTAGCCGCCCTGTATCAGCCCCATGAACTCGCTCATCGTGTTGCGGTGGTAGTAGGGCGGGCGGAAGGTGTCCTCGGCGACGAGCCAGCGCGGGGGAAAGATGACGAAGTCGGCGACGGCCGTCCCCGCCACGGGCGAGGGGGCGGACAGCACGGTGAAGATGGACGGGTCCGGGTGGTCGTAGGAGATGGTGCCTATCGTGTTGAAGCGGCCCAGGTCGTACTTGTAGGGGTAGTAGTTGCCGTGCCACGCCACGACGTCGAAGGGTGTGTGGGCTTGCTTGGTGTCGAACAGGGCGTTGTTGAACTTGACCGTCACCGTGTGTTGAACGTTGCCCTCCGAGGCCAGTGAGCCACAGTCCTCGTCGAAGCAAGCCAGTGGGGATTGGAAGTCGCGGGCATTCGCCAACCCGTTGGATCCAATTGGTCCGAGTTCCGGTAAGATGAAGTGTCCCTGGTACAGCTCAAGAGCGTAGCCTCTGGCAGGACCCGACGGGAGGAAGACCTGGTATTTGACACCTCTGGGGATTACGCAAATCTCCATCGGTCGGACCAGGATCCAGCCAAACTCTGTTCGGATGTCGAGGTCACCCTCTTGCGCAACAATCAGCAAGTCACCGTCAGCCGAGTAAAAGGAAGATGTCTTCTCCATGCTTTTCCCAGCGGCAAACACAAACATGCCGATTCCCTGCTTCAACACTGGGTCGCCGGCGCCGGCCACTAGTCTAAGCCCCGTGACAAAGTCGAGGTGTTTGGAGCTATCATGGTCGAAAGGGTCCCAGCGCAGTTGAT